GAAAAACAAGTTTTTAAAATAAGAAAACAGCTTTCGTTTCTGTTTCCTAGAAATGGGTCATGCAGTTCTCTCTTCACAGGACAGTGACAAACTAAGACGGAGTTTCTATAGTCACATCATTTTACTTAAATGACTACAGTGACCCTATTCCTGTAATCCCAACAAGGCGGGAATTGTTGCAAGTGACTAATGAGTCTCTACCAGAGCAATTGCTGTACACACTCAGTACTAGTGACTTATTTGATGCCTGCTTAAAACTACACACATTTTCATCTGTTGTTTTAATATCTATAAACCCTATGTCCTTTATCCTATGCAAGGCTACAAGATCAAATTCCTATGTTAATCAATTTGATCATATTTATTTATAACTATGCTGACACACTGACACATCCTGTGACTTAAATCCTATGTTTTACAGTTACAGGATTCTTTTACTATTACGTAGGCTTATTCCTGATGAACTTATCTTATTATCACTTATCTATGTTATCTTACCTTATTCCTGTAGTCTTTATGTCCATTGCTTATTGATTATTTATTCTATCTTGCCTTATACCTATAACCTATATCTATGACTTATTGATTATATTGATCAGTTCACACTGTAACACTGGCAGGGTTCCCTGTCCACCTTCCATGGCCCACCTGCACCTGGGGGTATTGCTCATCAACTGCTGACCAGCTCTACCTGGGCCATTCTGGGAAGCGTCTCTGCATCTACTGAGTAGCACAACTTGGAACCACCTATTCTGGTGCCGGAGCCTGATCCCGGTGGTCCTCACGTGGCCCTCCTCACAATTCTCAGCCCTGGGTCTTTGTGGTTCTCTTGACCTCCAAAGACAATTACATTAGGGCGAATAATTGTATGTTAGACCTTCCTTCTTCATATTTCTGTCTCCTGATTGGACCTGCACACAAAACCATGAGTTTGTAGCAACCTGGGTCTTGGAAAGAATAGTGGTCTTTTCCACAGGCACCTATTTTCTGTGTGAGGCAGTGGCCAGCCCTTGTGCTGCTTCTGCTGGAACACTTCACTGAGATGAGACTTGAGAGAACCCCAGGTGTCCTGGCCCCAGCTGCAGGGACGTCAGGATGCAGTTTCAGTAGTGGTGTGCAGCTAAGGCTTCCTAATTCCACATTTTCCCTCAGGTCACAGAGTGGTGCTGCGCTTTTGAACTCAGTTCAGAGCCTCCTGCATCTCCAGTCTGCCGCAACCCGGCTGGGCACAGAAACACAAGCCGCCGCAACCCGGCTGGGCACAGAAACACAAGCCGCTCAAGCGGGAACAAAGCTTTATTTTTAAAAGAGCCGCCAGTCCCCGTGTSCGCCCTGCTAACAAGCCSKTCGACACACGTGTCTCTCCACTGGAACCGGGGTCCCGGACCTCCCCCGGAAATGCCCTCCTACTATCCTTCCCCAACCAATGGGAACTCTCCGGGAGTCCCRTAATGTGAGTCCCTTAACAGGCGGAGGTGAACAGCAGGAGTCCAATTTCCATATGAATGTGAAGCTTAACATAATCATATCATCTCAATGGCTAGCTGGCAGTCACCTAAACCAAAGGTGCCATGTATCATAATACTTTTGCTGTGGCTCCTAGCACCAGTCATTCTGTTTAAATACCATTCGAAGCATAACAATTAAAAGCCATTGTCTAACAACATGAAAAGTGTTTTCTTATATCTTCTACAGTTTATTTTTATTTTTTTACTTTATCAAGATGGGGTCTTGCTGTGTTCCACACACTGACTTCTAACTCCTGTAAGAGCCTCAAGTACTTCTCCTGCCTCAGCATCCTGAGTAGCTGAGACTACAGGTGTGCACCAATGGGCCGGCTTATCGTCTGGAGTGTAAATGTCACCTGTGGAGCCTCTGCCAGTCACAGCATTTGATATATCTGCCAGCACACCCTCAAGTAATGCCCTGAGAGGCTCGCAGCTGCCTCCTGCACACCTGTAAGCAGCGCCACATGAGCTTATCATCACATTCCCAGGATGTGCCTGTCCTGCAGAGTACCTGTCCTGCATCAGCACCCACAGGGGCACCAGCCCAGGGAGATATTTCCTGTTTGAACAATTTATATTTTAGTAATTTGTTAGTTGTGCAATATAATTGGGCATTTTAATAAAAAAAAAAACCTCTTCCGTTGACTATTCTTTAGCATGCATTTCTCATGCATTTAAACTGTGATGTATATACATGCATATGTACACATGTACATATACATGCCTACATACATAGACACATGCTCACATATACATGCCTACATACATACACATCCTCACCTCCAACTTTCAACTGGAAGGTAATAAAAACTTTGTAAAGTTCAACTTGTTCTTTCATTTGTTCACTTTGGTACTGGGGATTGAAGCCAGGCCCTGGACATGCCAGATGCTAGGCGAGCTGATATCCCACCAATCACGCCCAGCCTCAAATGTTCAGTGGTAACCCTGACATGCAAACAAGGAGGTGGCACCAATGTGGGCTGGGACGTCTCTACAAATGCACACACTTCTCATTAAACAGCTAGCACTTCTACTTGATTCAACTTCTTATTTTCTTCTTTTACTATCTTACTTTTTTTTTCTTTTGAACTAACTAGGGATTGAACCCAGGGGGTGCTTTACCACTAAGCCATATCCCTAACTCTTTTTATTTTATTTTATTTTTTTGACACAGTGTCTCACTAAATTACTTAGGGTCTTGCCAAATTGACAAGGCTGACCTTGAACTTGCAATCCTCCTTCCCCTGCCTCCTGAGCTGCTGGGATTACAGGTGTGCTCATTATGCCAGGCTTCTTATTTCATTTTCTTGGGCCCACAGGTAGCTTCAATGTAGAAGGTTTTAGTTGACAACTGTCTGTTTTTATAAATTTACTATCTAAGACAATTTTGGGCCCAACAAGGTATGAATCCTTCCTGTTTCTTTTCTTTTTTTTTAGGTAGACACAATATCTTTGTGTGTGTGTGTGTGTGTGTGTGTGTGTGTGGTGGTGGTGCTGGGGATTGAACCCAGGGCCTTGTGCAAGCAAGGCAAGCACTGTATCAACTGAGCTATATCCCCAGCCCCTAGACACAATATCTTTATTTTTTATTTTTATGTCGTGTTGAGGATCGAACCCAGTGCCTCATGCATCCTAGGCGAACACTGTACCACTGAGCCACAGCCCCAGCCCTGCCTTCATACTTATTCAGTTTGAATTTGCTCTTCCTTGAACTGTCAGAGGTACTAAACTTCGGTGTGAGCTACCACATGCTCTCCGATGGCTGCCACCCACCGCCGGGTGCACAGGCACTGCCACAGGGGCCTCCACCCCCAATCCTCCTGTGGGAGGGTGGCCAGGGCTCTGCCAGCAGCACTCATGTACAGCTCCTCTCCCGTGTGAACTCCACGCTCACCAAGGTGTGGTCTGCAAAGGAGGCCACGTCAGAGCCTGTCCTCTGGCCTGGGGAACCTGGAATCCTGGTGCAGCAACCCAGTCAGCACATTCTTGTGGTTTCTTTCCAATAAAGGTTTGCATCTATGTAGTAATGACTGAGTTAGAATTATGGCCTTCCCGTATTCATTTCACAGGTGGAAGTCTCCTGCGTGAATTCTCTTGTGCCGCATAAGGTCTGAAATTTGTCAGAACACTTCGCAGTCCAGCACGGTTGCACACGCCGGTAATCCCAGTGACTTGGTGGCTGACACAGGAATCACAAGTATAAGTTCAAGTTCAGCCTCAGCAACTTATCAAGGTCCTTAGTGAGACCCAGTCTCAAAATAAAAACAAAAAGGGCTGGGGTTGTATCTCAGTGGTGAATCGCCCCTGAGTTAAAATCCCTAATACCAAAACAAAAATGCCAACCACGCTTCCCACTGTGATCACGCTCCCTGGGTTCCCGCCCGGGGGCTTCTGACCAGTTCTGGCTGTGGTGATCTTGCGTTCTTCGGCCTCTGAAGACCCGGTTCTTGCACTCGCAGGGTACATCTCCCGTAGGTTAATGGGGATGGAACTCAGGCGCTCTACCAGTGAGCTACACCCCCGGCCCTTTTCATATTGAGACAGGGCCTTGCTACGCTGTCCTGGTGGGCCTCAAACTTGTGGCCCTCGTGCCTCTGCCTCCGGAGTCACTGAGGTCACAGGCATGAGCTCTGCGCGCCCGGGCCTTCTGTTTTGCAGAAGTTTTGAGACTCAACACACCACGTATGGCGTGAAGGTACTGAACACTACCACTTCACATTAAGAAAGGTTACGAAGGTGTATTTTGCGGTAAAAGGAAAAAATCTCCCCCAGCAGGCTCAGGAGAGAGCCACAGCCAATCCACAAGGCGGGTGGAAGGGGTCCGCGGACAGGTGCACGTGGCCGGGGACCTCACTACCCAGGGAATGGACGCCCCAAGGCCAGGCGTGCTCTGAACTGGAAGGACTTGTTGTAGCAAGAGCGCGCGGCCGGCCAGGGCCGCTGGAGGGCGGGGCCTGTCGGGCCGGCGTGCTCCCGCTCTGGGGGCGGGGCCTGTCCGGCGGGCGTGCTCCCGCTCTGGGGGCGGGGCCTGTCCGGCGGGCGTGCTCCCGCTCTGGGGGCGGGGCCTGTCCGGCGGGCGTGCTCCCGCTCTGGGGGCGGGGCCTGTCCGGCGGGCGTGCTCCCGCTCTGGGGGCGGGGCCTGTCCGGCGGGCGTGCTCCCGCTCTGGGGGCGGGGCCTGTCCGGCGGGCGTGCTCCCGCTCTGGGGGCGGGGCCTGTCCGGCGGGGGTGCTCCCGCTCTGGGGGCGGGGCCTGTCCGGCGGGGGTGCTCCCGCTCTGGGGGCGGGGCCTGTCCGGCGGGGGTGCTCCCGCTCTGGGGGCGGGGCCTGTCCGGCGGGGGTGCTCCCGCTCTGGGGGCGGGGCGCGCGCTGCGACGGTGCCCCGGGGGCGGGGCCTAGTCCTCCAACGTTACACCGAGATTCGGTTCCTAGAAGGGCCGGAAGCTGCTCCCGGGCAGCGCACTTCCGTGGGGAAGTTGAAGTCCGTGTGTCGCGGGACCCGGTGCGGCACTTCCCTGCGCCGCTTGGGGGCTGGGGTTTTAGGTTGCTTACGGTCACTCGCGCTCCAGGCCTGCCTGACGCGGGCCGGTCTTCCCGATCCGCGATCGGAACCCCCTTCCCCTTCAGACGCGCCGAAGCCGGCCCCGCTGCACAGCCCCGGAGGGCCGGCGCGCGAGTCCCGGCTGCGGAGGCCCGCAGGTGAGCTGCCGGGCGCCGCAGTCCCCCGCCTGCTTTCCTGGGGCTGCTGACCCCCTGCTGCGTGCTCTGCAGGTGGCACCCTCTCGCTCCCWTTGGAAATCCAGGCTTTTGCCACCTGTTGCTCAGAGGAGGGGAGCTGTCACAGTCCGTCACACAGTTTGTGAGTCACTGTCAGTAAGATACCGCCCGTCACCGCYGAGTCCTGCTCCCCACATGTTGAAGTAGAACACTGGAGAAGCACGCGAGGCGAGCACAAAGCAGGGTTTATTTAAAAAGGGGAAACCGACTTCTCCCGGGAGGGAGAAGGGCCATAGCTGGCATCCTGGTATCCGCAGAAGCGAGGTGTTGTGCCCTTTTTATATGTCCTAGGCTTCCTTTGTTCTCCTGCCCTCTTCCCCTATCTTCTTCCTGCGCACCTGACCAGACCCAGAGCGCTGGGTGGGAGGCCCAAAGGTGGGACACAGGTGGGCTGAAGGGGGAAGGGCAGCTTGGAGCTGCTCAGGACACGTTGACCACCTCGTGGCTCCCTGTAGGGAGGGGCAGTTCCTGGGGCCGGGTACCTGGGCAACAGGTCGGAGCAGGGGCAGGTTCTAGATAAGATCCCTCAGGGGACAGTCTCCAACTTCCCAGACTCACTCAAAGTTGGCCTCCTTGGTCTGTCCTGACAATATTTACAGATCTGCACGGACTGCCTGTCTCATTCTGGCTTCAATTATAGAAAACCCTGTGCTCCATGTACCTTTTCCTGGACCATTCCGACTTTATTCTAAAGTGTCCATTCAGACATTTTGTTTGTTTTAAGCTTTTCTTTTTATTGATGACTTAGAGGGGTTATAGTTCTGATCAGTCTGTGGCTTGCCGTGACAGTGATATCAGTTCACCTGGTGACCTCCCAGGTCCCCTGTGGCTACTTGAATGGATACAGATTGTAGCATGAGTTTTGGAAAAGACATTTATTTAAATCATATCAGTATATCTTTTGAGATAATTATAGAACTTCATACTGTGTTTTCTCCTTTGTGTTTTTTAAAAATTTTTTAGTTATCAATGGACCTTTATTTTATTTATTCATATATGGTGCTGACAATCAAACCCAGTTCTCACACATGCTAGCCGAGTGCTCTACCACTGAGCCACAACCCCAGCCCATCTCCTTTGTGTTTCTAACATGGTTAATGATATTGGTTCATTTCCAAATGACAAAGGAAAAGCTAGGAAAGTCATTGTAACTAAAGCTGCCACCAGCATTTAAAAGGAAGAGGTGATCTCATCAGGGGAAAACCTGGCACCCCATGTGTGAGAGTGTCTGCAGAAGGTGGGAGTGGCTGAGACCAGAGAAGGCTGGCAGATCTAGGCCGCAGAAGGTAGCAAGCCAGTCCCTTACCAGGCAAAGCAGCTGCAGGGCAGAAGGTTCATGTGCTCAGCTGGACACAGGTGGGCCCTGGCCAACGAGAGCAGACCTGGCCTTTCTCAGAAACCATTAATATGTCAAAGGTCAGTTAAGAAGCAGTCTGGGAGGCTGGGGACACAGCTCAGTTGGTAGAGTGCTCGCCTGGCGTGCACAACGCCCTGGGTTCAGTCCCCAGCATAACAACAACAACAACAACAAAGCAGCAGCCATCTGGGGGCCAGGTTGTGGCTCAGTGGCAGAGCTTGCTGGCGTGTGAGGCATTGGGTGCGATTCTCAGCTCCGCATATAAATAAGCAAAGATAATAAAGTTCATCAATGACTAAAAAGAATCTATTAAAAAGAAAAGCAGTCTGGACATCGATGACCACCACAACACACACAGCCTGTCTTAATAACTCTGCTCTATAGTGCCCTGGTCACCTGGTGGGCACACAGGCTCTTACAGCCAAGATGGGCTGTGGTCACAACAAGCTGGGTCCTTACAAATCTCAAGTTGGAAAACACTAAAGCGTTGAGCAGCTCCATGTGACTGACTTGATAGTGCCAGAGGAGAAATGGGGAGAGTCTGTGAGGTGAGTGTGCAGAGGTGAGCGCAAGGACAGCTCCTGCCTGGTCCCAGGTCTCCAGCTCAGACACAGTGCCTGTGTCTTTGGGGTGCATGCCCTCAGTCAGGGGTTTGGCCTTCTGATATTTGGAGAATGTCCATGTCTGTTGATGAGAGATGGGCTGTAGTTTTCCTCTGACAGTTTGGGTTTGAGGTCGTGCTGCCTCATTAAGAGAAACTGGAAGTTGTTTGTTGGTCCTGCTAGAAAAAACATGCCAGGCCTGCAGCCTGCTCTTCCCTCGGGAGGGTCCGTCTGGTGGCACTCGCTCAGCAGGCTGGGCTTCCACTTGGCTTGCTCAGCTCTAGTCTTTATCTAAGTTGCTGGACTTGGTGTGACAGGCTCATGATGGCTCTCAGGGCACTCCTGACGGAGGGTCTGTAGCAAGGCCCCTTYTCACATGCAGCGGAAGGAGGTGTGCTCTTTCTTCCTACCACTGGGGATGTCTTCTCCCGTGGTGTCTGAGGCTGGGCTCCACAGGGGAGGCGAGGCCCCTGCAGCAGAGGCGCCTGGATCCCGGGGAAGGTGGTTCTTGGCAGGCCAGAGGCCAGAGCAGCAAATGCGGCTCCTAGTGGGGAACGCCTGGCCTGACGGGCACCTCAGTGAGGGCGAGTGGACTCCCCGGGCCAGCCCATATTCTGAGTTGGGAGAAGGTGGCTAGGATATGGCCCCTTCATGGGAAAGCACCCGAGGACAGTTTGTGTGCCTGCCCTGTGGAGTGGCCTGGCCTGCTGTCCAGGAACTAGCTACCCTGGTTGGGGCTCTGTGTCACTCTCCAGTGCCACGTCCGCAGTCAGGCTGGTGACTTTCAGCCATACTGGCTGGTCTCTATCTGGTCTGGAGAAGGCCTGCCTGCTTCCTGGTGTTCCAGAGTTCTGCTGCTTGCCAGGGGCCATAGCACCTGCTCTCCCTGGCACCTCAATGCCAGGGCATAGGCACCACTGGCTTTTCCTGGGCTCCCTGGGCTTGCAAGTGGGGGTTGGCTCTTGGAGTTAGGTGGAGCTCTGGGCCAGCCTCTCCTGCTCACCCCACTCTGTCTCCCCAGACTGTCTGCTCCATTATGCCTGTGTTTCCTCAGAGCGTGACCACTGCAGTTCCCATGGATGTGCCCCAGGTGAGCTGTTGTTGGCTGCAGGCCCCCAGGTGTGGCCGAGGCAGGGAGGGTACCCGCCAGGTTTCACCTTTCTGCTGGTTCTCTTTCTTGGGGCTGGGAAAAGGAAAGAGCCCAGTTCACTTAGGTAAGAGCCTGGTAGAAGTCATAGCCAACTTGGAAAATGGGCTTGGTTCTTTTACGTGCTTAGTCCATCACAGTTGCAAGCAAACTACCAGGCGGGCAGCTTAATGCTATAGCCATCTGCTTCTCTATCCTGCAGAGTCCAGCGTCAGTGCTGGCATGTGCAGTCCTGGCCAGGGCTTCTTCCTGGATGTAGAGGCTGCCTTTGTGAAGGGCCTCCTGTGGGAAGGAGCCATGGGGCTCCTCCCTTTCCCCCCTCATCCTGGGATTGAACCTGGGGTGCTTAAGCACTGAGCCACATTCCCAACTCTTTTTTTTTTTTTTCAGACAGGGTATTGCTAAGTTGCTTAGGGCCTCAATAAGTTGCTGAGGCTGGCCTTGAACTTGTGATTCTCCTGCCTCTCAGTCTCTCGAATTGCCAAGATTACAGGCATGCGCCCCCCCCCCCCAGCCTGGCTTTCTGACTTTCTAATAAGGACCCCAGTCCTGTTGTTTAGGACCCCACCCTTTGACCTCATTTAACCTTAATTGCTTCTTCAGAGGCCCCATCTCCAAGTGCAGCCACGTGGGAGTCAGGGGTCTAGCTAAGAGTTGGGTGCAGACACCTGCCCACACAGATGCCTTCCCAGGTTTGGCTGTGGACCTCTTGGGGTTTTTCCTCTTGAACACTGTCACCTGCTCTCACCCCTTCCTGCAGACGTGGGATTTGGTGCTGTGTCTCTCACTCTTTTTCAGGAGCAGCTAGTCCTGGAGCCGTGCACATGTCAGGTGCCGGTGACCTTTGAGGATGTGGCAGTGTACTTCTCAAGGGAAGAGTGGGAGTGTCTTGGCCCCAGCCAGAGGGCCCTCTACCAGGATGTGATGCTGGACAACTTCAGGAGCTTGGTTGCTTTGGGTGAGGCTGTGTGGGCCTCGAGAGCCTGATAGGTTCTAGCTGAGGGCTTGGGGTAGGGAGTTCTTAGCCTGAGCAGACAGAAGGGCCCGGCCCACCCTCTGACCATCTGGTCCGGGGGCTCTTTTGACTTCTTTGGAGGCAGCTTGTCTTCTCTTTTTTTTGGGAGGGGGGTGCCAGGGATTGAACTCAGGGGCACTTGACCACTGAGCCACATCCCCAGCCCTATTTTGTATTTCATTAGAGACAGGGTCTGAGTTGCTTAGCGCCTCGAGTTGCTGAGGCTGGCTTTGAACTTGTGATCCTCCTGCCTCAGCCTCCTGAGCTGCTGGGATTACAGGTGTGCACCACCGTGCCCAGCCTTGCTTGTCTTCTTTGCCCAAGTCTCCAGGACCCTGTGTGGGACAGTGGGAATGGGGATGTCACTTCTTTCATCTCTGCTTCAGGGAAGATTCTCCAGGGGGTCCTTCAGGGCTGTCCTGGCTGCTGAGTTCACCTTATACTGACCTAAAGCTGGCCTGAGCCCTGACCCTCACTTTGTCCTCTGCACAAATAAAACCTTTTCTCTCTTTTGAGAAGGACTTTGCAGCCCCAGACCAGATCTTGTCTCTCACCTGGAGCAGTGGGGTGAGCCATGGGTTGAAGACTGGGAGAGAGCTGAGTTTCGGGAAGCACAGCGGGATTCCCACCCAGGTGAGCACAGCACTCTGGACTGGCTGGCCTCTTCCTCTGTCCTCAGAGCTCCCATCACCTTCCCCTCCCAGGGGCGAGGGGCACAGAGCTGCTTCTGAGTGGGACACAGGTGGCAGCTGCACTCCTGCCACTGGTCCTACTGGGATGGGCATTTACAAGGGTCCTGGGCTCAGCTGGTGAGGTAATTTGGGGGAGGGAGGTGTGTGGAGAGCCTGTGCCAGTCCCAGGCACTGTTCTGTGACAACTCAGGGGGGTTCTGAGGCCTGTGTGCCTGATGCAGGTCAGAGTCTCCTGAGTGGCCTTAGGTGGGCTCTTTATTCCGGCTCATTTGTAACGCTGGTCAACGGTGCTGCCTCCCTCCCTTAATGAGGTGGTGGCCTTGGCAGTGGTCACCAGGGTATTTTGTTTCTCCCTTTTGTGGTGCTGGGGATGGACCAGGGCCTCTCCCATGTGCTGGGTAAGCCCTGTGCCACTGAGCCCTACCCAGCCCCAGAGTCAGTGCCTTAGCTCAGATCCAGGGCTGTGTGCGCCTGAGACAGGCTGGAAGGCGCCTGGACCGTTGGAGCCCCTGGCTGGGGAGGATGTGGGGTCCTGAATATATGGAGTTCCCGGCCCCTGCCTAGGCCCTACCTGTACCTCAGCGGGGTGACACTGTCCTGCGTCCCTCCTCGCATGGGGACACCAGCCAGTGTGCATTACTGAGCTGGTCAAACCTTCTCGCAGGTCGCCCTCTCCTCAGTGGTCCTGGATGACTACCACGGAGCTAGAGCGAGCTCTGAGTTCACTCTGTATAGTCAGTGCTAGTAGTTCTAGCTGACCTATGTGGGTTTTGTTTTTTGTTTGCTTTTTCTTTTTTGTTGTCAGTGGATCTTTACTTATTTATTTGTATGTGGTGCTGGGAATCAAACCCACTGCCTCACACATGCCAGGCAAGCGCTCTGCCACTGAGCCCCAGCCCCAGCCTCCTCTGTGGTTTTTTTTTTTTTTTTTTGTAGGGGGTACCAGGGATTTGACTCAGGCACTTAAGCACTAAGCCACATCCCCAGCCCCCCAATGTATATTTAGAGACAGGGTCTTACTGAGTTGCTTAGCACCTCGCCGTTGCTGAGGCTGGCTTTGAACTTGCCATCCTCCTGTCTCAGCCTCTCGAGCTGCTGGGATGACAGGCGTGTGCCACCAAGCTCGGCTCACCTATGTGTTTTTAGCATGTTTCTTTATAGCTTATGCTGTAGGGAGTGACTTTTTAGGAGTGCCTCCTTGTTTCGCTTGAGATGAGTAGAGATGACATTTGGTAGCTTTTCTTCACACTTTCAGGATGGCCACTGCGCGACTTGCCTGCCCCTGGAGCCACCAATCCTGTACATTTGTTGGTGTTCCTCTGTAGGGTCAAGGAAGCCTGTTGACCACAAAAGACTCTGTGATCAGCTGGCCTGGGTTCACGAGAAGATCCAGCTGCGGAGAAGAGTCCAGAGAGGGACTAGCTGGGAGAAGAGCTTCCTCCCAGCTGTGGGTGAGGTGCAGCTTCCCAGGACTGCTCCAGGGAGGAAGGCAGGTAAGCCCACGACTCTCCACGGCCAGGCGTGTGGAAAGTCTTGCAGGCAGTGGCCAGGCCTTGGGGAGCAGCCCAAGAGCCGCACGGAGGAACCTGCATTCATCTGTGGCACGTGTGGGAAGGCGCTGAGCTGCCACAGCCGGCTGGCTGCTCACCAGACGGTGCACACAGGAGCCAGGTCCTTTGAGTGCTTCCAGTGCGGCCAGACCTTCCGCTGGTGTTCCAACCTCCTGCGCCACCAGAGGAACCACACGAGCGAGAAGCCCTTCAGCTGCGAGCTGTGTGGCCAGGCCTTTAGCTTGAAGGACCGTCTGGTGCAGCATCGCAAGGTCCACACAGAGCACCGGCCCTACGTGTGTGGTGACTGCGGGAAGGCCTTCAAGCAGAAGTCCAACCTCCTCCGGCACCAGCTTGTGCACACTGGGGAGAGGCCTTTCTTCTGCACCAACTGCGGCAAGGCTTTCCGGACCAAGGAGAACCTTAGTCACCACCAGCGCATTCACAGCGGGGAGAAGCCCTACACCTGTGCCGAGTGTGGGAAGGCCTTCCGGTGGCCCAAGGGCTTCAGCATCCACCAGAAGCTGCACCTGGCCAAGAGGTCCTATGAGTGTGAGCGCTGTGGGAAGGGCTTCCGCCACCTGGGCTTCTTCACGCGGCATCAGAGGACTCACCGGGGGGGCCAGGTGTAGAGGCCCTGGCCCCAGGGCTCCACCCTTGCTGGGGACGAGCTGTGCCCTCTGTCACTCTTGAGCCTGGAAGGAAACCTTATGGGCTTTCAGAATAACTGGGTGGAGCTTGGAGCTCCATAGAGCTCCTGAGAAGTACCACCAGGAAAAGGCCATCAGAAGAAGGGGATCCAGAGTATGCCATGGAGACTGAGCAGTGCGTACGCGCAAGCATAAACACACACACACACACACACACACACACACACACCCCATTTACCCGCCCTGGAGATGTGTTCCTGGCTGTCTCACCCCATGAACTTGACCCCTGTCCCCGCTGTCACTCGTGTGCACTTTAACCTTTTGTCCTGGCTCTTTCTCTCCCTCTTTGCTCATCCGTCTTTCTTCCATCTCTGCAAGGTAGTGTTACATTTTTCAGAGAAGCAAAGCCTCTTTTGCGACCTCACTATGTGGGAACTTATAAATGAGCACCTTTGTGTCATTGGGAGCCAGTTAAAAGGCCAGATCTGAATTCAAAGCCAGGGTCTGGTTGGCACGGCACATGTGGGGCTGCGTCTGCTCCGTGGCAGCACAGGACGGGTGGGCTGTCCGTGGAGGTCAAAGCTGCACCCTCAGCTCTTGTCCTTGTAGCTTCTTGTACAGAGACTGACCTGGGCGTCGGCTCTTTGGCACAATGGCATCGTGTCTCGTTTCTGTTCATTGAGTTCATAGAAGGTGCCCAGGAAGGCCATGGTGTATGGATGAGAACTGGACGTGTCTGCCCAGCTCTGCATCCACATGTGGGACCACGAGTTACAGAGATGCTGCCAACCTGGGACTGGGCTGCTCAGCTCTGGCCCTTGGCTTTCAGGCTGCTTAATGACTCCACTGCACTGCCCTGTGTCATGGGCCTTGGCTGCTGGGCAGCTCTGTGCACAGGCCTGGTGCTGGGTGGTGCCCAGAAGCTGGCTGTGTAGCGGCTGCCCACCTGCCTGCCTACTGGGCAACAGGAGCTCCCTCTGCCCATGCCCTCCCTGTTGGTTGGTGCTCAGAGCTGGTCACGCCCCTGGAGCTGGTGAGTGTGGCTGGGTCTGAGAGCAGAATGTGGTGGCCAGGCTTGCTGCAGGTTGTCTTCTCGGTTCTCAGCTTGGGGTGCCTCTGCTTTGCCCAGGCAGAAACAGCCTGCCAGGCAGAGCTTGCAGGGCAACTCCATACTGTGAGAGCTGAGCAGGGACCCGCATTTGTCACTGCTGTATCAGGTTATCCTGATATCTGATGAGAGTTTTGCAATTAATGACAGGCGCAGTGGTGCACACCTATAACCCCAGCAACTCAGGAGGCTGAGGCAGGAGGATCACAAGTTCAGGGCCAGTCTCAGCAACTTAGTGAGACCTTGTCTGAAAAAATAAAAAGGTTGGGGGTGCACCTTAATGGTGGAGTTCTTGTGCCTAATCCCTGGTACCAAAAAGTAATTCCCAGATAACATGCACCTAGACTTGGAAATGTCACAGGAAGCAGGGTGAAGAGGACCAGCTCAGCCACCAAGAAGAAGCGTGGCTCCAGAGCCCTGAGGGACGCTGTTAGACAGCACCTTCTCCAAGCAGCCAGAGGCCCAGAGACGTGGGGCTGCGGTGCTGGGAGCAAATCAACTGTAAGAAGCCATTTTTGAGACAATCATGTGAACAGGCTGGGCCTTGGTGGCAGTAAGGAATTTGCTGGTTTTGAGGTGAATTCTGACATTTGTGGGAGAAATGACATGGTGTTAAGGATTTGCCTTTAAGTTCTAATAAAAAGGGAGAAAAGCCTGGCAAACATTGGTGAGTGAGTTGAAGCTAGGAGGTGTTTGAAAACTCTGAGGTCGTCAATGCATGCTGAAGCTTGCTCTGAACAGCCATGAACTGTGGCTCCCGTCTCTGCTGCGGGCCAGGAGGAAGCACTGCAGACCACAGAACTTGGGGCCAGACAGCCCTGCCTGGCAGGCCCCTCTGTGCAGAGGGCGTGCATGTATGGAGAAGGAGCCAGAGGTCCAGCTGTCTCCTCTCAGTAGGCACTGACCCCACTGAGGGGCCTCCCGCCCAGACCCCCACCTCCTAACACCAAGCTGTGGCTTAGAGCCCCAACATGCAAACCTGGTGGGAGGCACAGGTCATCCTGCAGCAGGGGTCAGAGCCCACCCCTTGGGATGTGGGGACACGGTAAATACGGCTTTTCCTCCTCGAGGGCTGCTGGGCGGGTGCCCTGGGTCCACGCTCCTGAGTCTGGAAGGCCTTGGGATGGTGAGTGAAGTGAAGGCCGTTCAAGAGTGAGAGAGATGTCAGTGGGCAGGCAGTGGATGCTGAGACTGACCCGATCCTTGAGTTTCAATGTCCTGGGGAGCCAGCTGGCCATGTCCAGGTCACTGCCCCATGCTGAAGCCTGTGTGGTGCAGCTGTGAGGGGTTAAGCTTGAACGTTCAGGGTCGGCAGAGAGCTGTGCTCCCTGAGGCCACTAGCACTTGCGGACAGCTGTGGCATGACCAGTCTGCTGCCCTGCCCTACCTGGCAGGCTCTGGTGCTGTGCGCTCCTGGCGTTTCTTCTGAACAGGACACTGTGTTCCCCACTGACTTAAGGTTGCTGCCCTGCGATGTTCCTGGAGTTTCCAGTTGCTTGAGCAGACAGCCTTGGGTGGAGACTGGTGGCCAGGAAGTGGTGAACAGGTAGGGTGGCCTGTGTCTCCATCTTAGCCCACTTCCCGTAGGCTGAGCCTTCCTGGGTGGGCATGTCTCCAGGCAGGTGTCGCTGGCCAGCAGCCCACGTCCCCTAGCCCCACATGCCTTTTCTCTTTGTTTAATGGAAATGGGGAATGTGTGAGGCCACTTTGTGGCCTGGAGTCAAGTCCCAGTGGGGCCAACAGGTGGAAGAGCCATGCCTGTGATCACCATGCCAGGCATCCACCCATCCCTGGTCTGTACTGGCTCACCGATCTGCCTGCCATGTTCTACACGTGTGCCCACCTGAGGTGCACCCGGAGCTCCGGGGTCACCAGGGCCATGTGGCATTCCCTGGTGGCCTTGACTCAGGTGGGCTGGCTCTCCCTGCACCCCAAGGCTGTGGCTTCCAGTGTTCCCTGGACTGGGTGCAGGTAGGTTGATGTCTGGGCTCACTGCTTTTGCAGTGAATCATCAACTCTGCGGTTCTAGGGGCCATGGAGCCCTCTATTGCTGCCCCTAACCCACACGCTCATGTGAATTTTCAGGGACACCAGATGAAACACACACACTTGACCTTTAAACAAGCTCAGGACGGCTTCTTTGTTCTCGGCCTCAAGCTCCCCAAATGGGAGAGCAAGAGAAAGTCACGAGACTGGCAAGAGAGAGCGAGCACATTCAGAAGTGAGCTTTTAGGGGGGGGACCCTCATTCTTAGAAAGTTCCATCCAAAAAAGACCGGAGGGGCAAGGTTACAAGGGACAGGTGAGTGTAATTCAACCTAAGGGGCATCGCCTACATCTGAAGACTCCCTCAACTTCCTGAACCAGGACAACACCCAGATCACTACGAAATGTAGTCATGGTCAGAGCCTCTCCTTCAGAGTGGAAGGCGCAAGTCATTCAGAGTGGCTCCCCACGCTCTATCATGCCAGTCCTGGAGGTTCTCAAATCCATGGGGACCCTGCAAGGGTGGACAGCTGCTGCTTAGTGCAAGTCTAGCCCCAACAGTTTGCTTTGCAGTGTTTGTATCTGGGACCTAAATAGTGGGCCCATCAAGTGAAATGCTATGGGGGATTTGAAATGTATAGGTTCTCAAAACAGCATTAACAGCTCCTCAGGTGAGCCTAGGGTGGAGCCATATTGGATTTGAACTTGCAGAAGCATCTTTATCACCATGCCAACTCCTGGTCAGAACAGAGCTGGCATGGAAACCTGGGATCCAGACAATCATGTGGCAACTTGGGACATGGAGGCCAGAGCCCCCTCCAGACCATAGCTTGTTGAGCCCTTCCCTCTCTCCATGCCCCCTTCCCAGGTGCACACCTGTGAGTTGGGATGCTTATGCCAATTGCAGTGCATGGGATAGCACTGCAGCTCAGTCCAAGCATGGGTTAGCATGCCAGCCTCTCCACTAGGATTTAGGAGAGTGTTCTGAGGGGCTTGTCCTGGTGGAATCTGCCATGAGTGGCAGCATGGAGATTACCAGGTCCCACCGTCAGGCCCAGAGGTGTCCCTGACGCAGGGGGTGGTAAGAAGAGATGCCCCCCGTGCTCCACCCAGCACACTTGAAGTCTGTGTCTAGACTGAGCACCTGCCCTCCCCCTTTCGCTAGTGCTCTAATTAGAGCAGTTAGCTCAGCCTTCTGAGCTGAGGTCCCCAGGGGCAAGGTTGAGCTGTTGTTTTTTCTAGGTTAAACACCGCAGACCCAGCCTTCCTCTGACCCTTGGAGACACAACTACTCTGTCGTGAACCATTCCTTCTCCATGTTAGGCAGGGTTGTGCAGGGAGGCCTGGAAGGTCACTTCCTCACACGAGTGTTCAGCTGGAGGGCAGAGGGCATCAGGGAGGCTCACTGAAGTATCATATGTCTGTTACCAAATTCAGGGTTAGCCAAGAGAACTACTTGGTACTTTGTGAGTCTCATCATCCGTACCTGCCCTTTCGTTTCCAAGGTGGCTTTGACCTGGTGTGGGGTGAGGACCTCAAGAGGTTGTCCTAAAGTAATCTTAGTGGCCTCTGTTACCAGGAGGGCTGTAGCACAACCACTCGCATACATTCTGGCCACCCTGTAGTTCCTCCGGGTCTTGGGTTAGGACCCGCGTGGCTATTCCCCTTCTTTCTGCCACGTAAGGGGTGAATGGTGTGGTGAGGTCAGGTGCTCCTGAGCTGGGGCCTGGCTGAGGGCCTGCTTTAGTGCCCCCAAAGCCCCTTCTTTTTCTTCACTCCACTCTGGAGGCTCCGAGGCTAGCCCTTCTATGCTTTCATAGAGGGGTTTTACAGTAAGGCCAAAGTTGGGATCCAGATTCTATAGAAACCTGCTGTTTCAGCTTTTTGTGCCACTGTGACTAAAAGACCTGACCAGCACAATTGTAGAAGAGGAAAAGTTTATCTGGGGGCTCATGTTTTCAGAGGTCTTGGTCCATAGAAGGCCGGCTCCATTCCTTGGGGCTCAAGGTGAGGCAGGGCGACATGGCAGGAGAGTGTGGTGGAGAGAGGCAGCCCACGTGATGATCAGGAGGCAGAAAGATCCACTCCATACCAATGCCTACCCCAGCCAGGCCTCCCATGACCAGCCACACCCACCCACTTCAGCTTCCACTGTTAATTCCCATGAGGTGACTAAGTCACTGATGGGGCTAAGGCTCTCCTAACCCAGTAATTTCTCCTCTACACCCTCTTGCATGGTCTCACACATAAGCTTTTGGGGAACACCTCACATCCAAACCATAATACCTGCCATTCCCCCAAAGGAGTGGAGCTGTTGCTTATTGGCCAGTGGACTCAACTCACAAATGGCCCTTATCCTGTCCAAGGAGATTTGTTTGGTCCCTACAATTAATATATATCCCAAATATTACACCCTCTTTTGGGAGATCTGGACCTTCTTTTTAGGTACCTGGCATCCTCTTTCTGCTAAGCAATGAGTGTATGGTGTTTTGCTTGGAGACCTCCTTGGTTGGACCACATATTAGCAGGTCATCCACATGATCCATCCCCACTTGAACTTGAGATCCTCAAGTACTTTACTAGGGCCCAAGCAAAGACATGAGGGCTGTCCCTAACCCCCCTGGGGAAGGACAGGGTTTTCCCATTCAAAAAACAGAGATACTGGGATGACAGAGGCAGAGGGATTGGAAATGCACCCTTGAGACCCAGCACCGTAAACCAAGTAGCGTCTCTGGAATTTGAAGAGCAAGGTACAAGGGTCTGCACCTACAGGGTGTACAGGGACTGGTCTCAGGTCTTGTACTGGCCAGTATTCCCTGCCAGGTTGTAGAACAGGCAAATTGACTCATTATAGGGGAGACTGGCAAGATTTAAGAAGTTCATATTAACTAGTTCATCTATAGTAGGTCATAATCCCTTTTTGCTGCTTCTTTTAAAGGATATTGCTTCTATTTGGGTAATGCTCAGGATCCTTCTGGATCATATGTGCTAGGTGAGTATAAACAGCTTTCTCTGGCCTTGGAGCAAACCAAGCTGCAAGGATATACTTGAGAATCAATCTACAGGGTCACAAATGGCCACCAGGAGTGTTTGGGGGTTGTACCCTCTGTGAAGCAATGCCCTGAGTTTTGCCATTATTTCTTGTCCTAGTAGTGGGAGAGGAGAGCAGGGTATTATTAGAAATACATGAGTGAAAAACAAATCATCAAACTGGCAAGGTATGGGAAAGGTAAAGTGTCCTTTTTTGTTTCTCCCTTCAAGGCCTACCACAAAATCGGACCTAGAAGAAGGCTTCCCCCAAAAGCAGTTAGAGCAGAGCAAGTAGCTCCCGTTTCAACCAGGAATTAGATTTTTTTTCTCCCGTAATATCCAAGGTTCCCCGAGGCTCCTCAGGAGAGGTGGTGATGTCACAGGGGGCTTCCGGGCACCTGGGGCATCCTCAGTCAGTCTCGACTGACAGCCCCTCTTTTAGAACAGGGGCAGTCAATTCCCCAGTACCAGGGTCCTCTGGCAAATGGTCCCTTCCCATGTGAAGGGATCTGACGGTGGCCTTTGGCAGACTCTTGCCCAGTGCCTGGTGTTTTTGCACTGGAAGCAGGAAGTCTTCTCCTGAGGTCCTCCTACATTTCCTCGGGATGATTTACGGGTCTCAAGGGCATTGCCAATTT